ATATATATATATATAAGTTTTATTATTTAGTTAGTTATTTATGTATATATAAATATACATGGAGAGCTGTCCTTTTCCTAAAACTCTTGAGGTTTCATCATGCCATGGTTCGGGAATAAAGGCAAGTTTCTGCATCCTGGCAGCTGCAATGTCGGACTCTGTTGCTGGTCTCTTGAAAAGTTGCGATTCTCATGGCTATATACTGATGAGCAGTCTATCGCCTGCACGTATTGGCTTGAAAGCAGCAGACAGAATTCCCAGCAATGCTGGTAGTAGTATCGAAATCAGGGTTGTTTCGAGACGTCTGAGACACCAACGTTCTTCGAAGCTGTGAGGCGCTGGCTTTGTGGCGGGCCCCACGCACTGCGTCCCGGCNNATGTATGTATGTATGTGCGTGCGTATGTATGTATGTATGCATGTATGCATCGATGTGCATAAATTAAAAAATAGAGCTACACGTCTATAACTACACACATACATATATATATATACACACACTTATATTCGGCTTATCATTCCCAATGCTGGTAGTAGTCTCGAAGTCAGGGTTGTTTCGAGACGGTTGAGACACCAACGTTCTTCGAAGCCGTTAGGCGCTGGCTTTGGTGCGGGCCCCACGCACTGCGTCCCGGCGGTGTTTGGATCTCAATGGCACCTGGAAGTTCTCGCGCCTCGGCATGGAGAAGTCAGAGGAAGCCAAAACAAGACGTTCTGCCTTCATGTGGCCAAAACCCGTGATACAGATCATATATGTTCTTGTCTTGACCTGTTGACCTAGTCTTAATTCGAGATCTGCCTGTCATTGGACTGTCAGTCAGTTTCCCCGCTCCTGTTTTGAAAGAGGCGTGTGGAGGGAGGTGCCCGAGCCACATCGGGTTCGTTTGCGAAACTTGAGGCTTCAGAGTACATGCAAAACAAACCAAACCCCTGAACCCCTAAACGGAGTTGTGTGGAGCCTTGCCTGCCTGGTGCGAGTGTGAGAGTCGAAACCCCTAAACCCTAAACCGCAGGGGTTTCGGGGAAGTTGGCATCCTGAGATCCTGGAGAAAGATCTGTCACTGTATCCATGGCACAGCAGCCCAAAGAAAATAAGGAATTCCAGCGACAGAGAGGGAGGAATACGTTCTCCTTACCCACTTGAAAGAAGAAGCGACGATGCAGTGCGAGAAGAAGAGCAAGACGAATCAAGAGGCAGCGAGAGTCAGGTGGAGTCCTCGCGCTGGCCAGTCTCCGAAAGGCTGACATTGGGCAAAGTTTGGGATTGAAATGGACGTCCTTGGAAGGTTTGAGGGCTTGCGCCTGCAACAATTCCCAAAATTTCAGAGCGTATGGTAGTTAAATGTCGGCATAGAGGCGAATATAGAATATCTTAGAGTTGGAGTGTTGGTGGTCTGAGAAATGATGTTCTGATTCACAATCTGCACAAAAAGCAGCCCCCGTGTATCACAGACGTCTATGTCGCCAAAGCCAGCAACACTGCACGGATTCAGAGTGGTCCTGCGACTCTGCATTTCTGTATGAGTATGTAACGTGAGAGTAAGCTCAACTACCACTGAAGTGACTCTAAACCCACGAGGGTTCTCATCGCAGTGGAGTCAGCAGATGGTGGATGACAGTGGAACCTGCACAACTCTGTCTGTAAGACCGTGTAAAACGCATCTATAAGACTCTGCTGTAGTTTTTCGGGTGTAGAGGTTTCGAGCGCTTCGACTTCGACGATGCCTCCTGGGGTGGAATGCCGGTGCCTGGAAACTGGGAGCTGAATGGGCAGCTTCCACCTGCAATAACATAGGTGTCGGAAGAACTAGTAACAATGTTCCATCATGGTCCATATATTGCTATAGACTCTCATAGTATAATCATACATAGTATACACCAAAACCGTATTCTAACCATGAAAGCCCTAATATTTGACTATATTTACGAAATCTACGCCAGTCAGTCAATAGTTTTGCCTCTTGTAACCGCTTTTCGAAGGTATGTACAGGTTGAGGTCGCGGGATGGCTTAGCCATGTCTCTCATGGCAAAAAAAATGTAAAGATGGGAGCTGACAGCTTCCTGAAAATTGGAGGCACCGGCCGCCGGGCCTGGGCCCGGGTTTCAGGAACCAGCTTATGTTAAGTTTGCATTAGATAATTATTTGAGTAATATTAGCGTATTTAACTAATGTAGAATACATAATAATAAAGTATATTATACTATGATATATCATCTTATATCATAATATATTATACAATCTAACGTAACATAACATAGCTTGCATTCGATTCATGTGAAAATATAGTGTCTGTAGATTCCCATCTAATCATCAACGCATTGACGCGGGCTAGAGTGGGAGACGGTAGGGAAGGGATAGGGGTGGTGCTCGGAACGAGACAGCCGGAAAAGCTTCGTACACCCAGCGTGCGGTTGCTAATCTGGTCTGCCGACCCCCGAGTGACTAAAGCAGGAACATCGGGGCGATGGGCTGGACGGCATGAAAGCATAGAGCACTGGATGGGCGGGGAGTGGGGGGTTCGGGGAGGCACGAACAGGAAGTGTAACAGTATCCACATAAACCCTGTGATATTCGTTCGATTAATGCATGTGTGTACATGTGTAGCAGCATCACCTGCAAGGTATGGGTTTCCCATCTACACGAATGAGTCTCGGAGGCAAACAGTGCAAGCATGGTCGACATCGTCCTTGGAGGATGGCCCGGTTCCTGTTGGGAGTGAGCAGTTTTGCTTAAAAACCTAAGCGGTGAGACCTGAATTCGGCTGAGTTGCTAAAGCCTCCGAAGCCCGGAGAACTGTCCGACACGTCCGAAGCCGAGGTAGATTTCATCTTCAAGTGCGATCCACCGAACATCAGGCCGGGAGTTTCCTGGCATTTGGCACTGTGGGTAAACCCACGATTATTCACGCAACGCTAGGCTTGACAAGTTTGTCGATAGGTACATCACTACTTGATGATGGCAGCAATGAGGAGGATTGTGACAATGGTGTTAATCTAACAACCATAACCATCAGCAGTGCCATTATTGTTGGCATTGCTGCGACTGGCTTCCCTTCTTTTTCCGGATGAGAATATGTACACATACATGCGCACACATTACTCGGTGGACTGGTATGCGATCATCCAACGCCATCTAAAACCTGCATGGGACGAGGTGGTGCATCGCAGTATGTCAACGTGGACATGCCAGGCATGATCAAGTTACATGTTTGTCTCCCGTAAGCTTGTCGTCTGTCATGGTTAATGGCCCTTAGCACGAGACTACCTAGTTTTAAATGGCCGCCACAGGACATACCACGCGACGAAATGTGTTTGACTAGGTAGAAATACAAGTTGCTCCACGCTTGGAGGTATCGCGGCGATGACCCGGATGCCTGTCTCGGGTTGTGTTTGCCATAACTTCTCTATCGCAACAGAAGCGATCCGATCTGAGCTCAGGACTACAATCCGACGGGAACCTATAGAAGAAGTTTCGACTGCCCAGCAGACTGGCTGGCAGGTGCCTGGGATCTTCAGGGAACTTAACGAAGATTTGTCCCTAAACCCCGCACCTAACTGACAACCCCCGAAACCCGATGAACCGTGGAAGCGTCGCGGCCCTTGCAAAGCAAAGCAATTGACCCTCTCCAGGCGGCCTACAGGTGTACATTCACCTTGGGGCCGTGTGCTGCACCTGCCGTGCTTGGCTGAATGGCCAAGAGCTGGGCTTCAGCACCGACAGCAAGCTGCCGGCCGTTTGCCTGCATCTAAACAATGCATCTAGAACAAACTAGAGTCTGAAGAATTTCGTTCTTGCAACCCTTTTCTAGCTAATGAAGACATTCCCACAAAATGAATATAACTAACTAAAGGCCCGACGCAATGAGTAGTTTAAGGCTGGCTCCCAAACGTTTTTTGCTGTCGCCGAGTCTGAGGTGGAATTCGACGTGACGCCTCACCTACGGCGCGAGGGATTTGAAGCAGGGTTTACGGCTTCGACAAGATCCAGCTTTCATCAGACCTGCTCTAGAATGGGCCTGGAGTTACAGTCAGGGGGTTGCGATCAAGTTGGACTCTAGGCTGAGATGTGTAGCACAACTTATTGCCAAATGTTTGGCGGAACTCAGGACTTACCTTATAGTGTCGTGAGAGATATCCCAGAGTGGACTTTGCATGCCAAGACTACAGATCGTGGACGTAGAGTGAATCTGTGCAAGTTCTCCCCTGGCCAGTCCTGGTCGTAACGTTCTGGCGTTGCAAGTGCTTTGCTGGGGAGCCGCGGCCTACTTGGAAGACCAGGACATGACTCTTGGCGGCATAGTTGAGGGGTCTTGGTAACCAATGTATGGTTTTCGGTAGATGACCCTAAACCCTAACCCTGTAGCCCTACAGGGGTGCACTATGTGGTTGTATACGCACTGTAAAGGGATATCCATGCGGTGAAGGCCTTATCTCTGCATAAGCTGCAGATTCTGCGAGTTGTGTAATCAGTACAGAGGAAGCTGTTGAAACGCGAAGCAGCAACTGAAACCGGGTGCATGGCTTCACGGCTAACACTGCCAAAAGCCAGATGAAGTTTCGTGCCGCATGCAAAATACAATATGTTTGTTGCAAAACAAGTCCAACCCCAAACCATTCTCGACGCTGCCAAAGAGAGTACCTTGAACAGTTCGTCGCACTTACACCCCATTTTATCATTATCTACGCCCTCAAGAATTTGTTCCTCAAGGTTTTGTAGATGTACAGGCAAAGGGTGTCCCAATCCGGTCGACGTTCGCCATGCTTACAGATCAGATGGTTGGATTTAGCTGCTGTGCGATTGCCGGCATAGGGTTCGCCGTGATGTCACTGGGAATCGTATTGGTGGCATGATCACGGGCATTGCGCTCACCCAGCCTGACTGACAGTGAAGGCATGTGAAGGCTTGACATTTACTTCAGCCGCAAACTAGCTGTCGTCTGTCCAGTCGAGGCTGACAATCCTCGTCGGGAGAGTCCGAGTCTGAGATTCCCAACAGGTGGTGGTTTGCCGGCATCACGCGGGACGTCTATGCGTACGCTCGTCCTCGACAGCACCTGCAGGACTTGGCCGTCGCTTGGCACGAAGGCTTTGAGGGAGGGCGATCGACAATGGGAGACAGGAGACTGGAGAGATGCACACGATGTCATGCACATGTCCCTTTGAATCTGTTACGGCTGGCAGAGTTCCAACAGAAGCAGACCTTGTTCGAGTCACCGTCGCAATGACAACACCTTGCACAACAACAGCAACAGCAACAACACCAGCAGCAACAACAACAACACCAACAACAACATCAGCAACAGCAGCGGCAGCAGCAGCAGCAGCAGCAGCAACGACAGCCACAACGACAACGAAAACGACAAGCACAACAACAATGACGACGACGACCACGACAACAATAACCACAAGCACCATAACCACAAGCACTGCAACCACAACCACCAGTATAACCACAACAACAACAAACCGCCACCGCCACCGCCACCACCACCACCACCACCACGACCACCACCACCACCACCACCACCACCACCAGCACCACCACCAGCACCACAGCAGCAGCACCAG